GGTATTAACACAAATTCACTGAGAAAGTGATTTCTTTTATCAGCAACTTTTCCTAGGACTTTTGCTGGCTTGCTAGAACCAGTATCCATTTCTGGTGAGTTCTTCCAAGACACACACATGAGTAATGTTAAAGGACCAGCCCCTCCAGGTACCTGCCACACACCATCACAGCCATGTCATCCCTGGACAGGTTAGTGACAAACTCCACTGCTGTGTGCCACAGCTGGGGCAGGTAAAAATCCTCACCATCAGTTATTTCCACCCCCATTTGAGCCCAGCCCACCCAAGACCAAGCTCTTACTTCTGCGGAGTCTTAATGACCAGGTGAACAGTGAGCCCATCTTTGATCCCATGTTGATTCAACGTGTCTCCATCCTTCAGGATCTTCCCAGCAAAGATCAGAACCAGCTGATCCTGTTTGGCTTTAAACCGTCTAGAAATCTCTTCTTTGAACTGAAAAACAAACAGCATTTTTCAGGCAAAGGACTGGTACCAGTAACATAAAGCTCCAGGGCTCACATCCACTCTGGGAGCAGCCCAAGGAACTGACCAGCTCTCAGAGCCCATGAAGGTACCACACAGTCACCAGGTGCTGGTGATGTCTGAGGTGTTCACGAAAACCAAAACAAAGCAAAGACAAGCTCTGAAATCACAAACTATGGAGTAAATCTCAGAAAAAACAGAGCCATTCCCTCAGAAGGGCTGAAGACTTCCAAAGCAAGACCAGTTGTGCTTCAGGCCTAACCCAAACACACCATTTATGCTGAATGACTGAACTGGTTTCATCTGCTCATTTGAGGTTTTTTTCCTAAGGAAAGCCAATCTCTGATTTAATACAGGACAGAGCTCTATGGAAAAGGCAATAATCCTTTATCAGCCAATGGAAATAAACTAGGTCTTCTCCAATTCCTATTTCTGCAACTGAATTCCCTGTGAGCATGCCACAGAGCATGGACACCTCTTCCTTACTGAGTGCTGTGCTGGGATTTACACCTGCAAGCAAGACTCTCACTGCTGGCCCTGCTGGGGCATCCCCAGATTGATTTGGAGGAAATAAAGCCTCGCACTTGGAAAACACAAACTAAAGGGAATTCAGAGGGGAAGGCCAGGATGGAGAGTGAAACACACGCAGGTTCCAGAGCTCTCAGCCTTCACAGCAAAACTCTAAAATCAAGGCTGGGCACAGCACAGCCCGACCCCAGATCACCCTGTCTGCCTCTCCCCGCACAGCTCCGTGTCCCCCCTGCACAAAGCCCTCACAAAACGCCCCCTTACCAAGGGGCTCCCCAGGAGGGAAAGGATCAGGAGGGCCACACGTGCACAGCCCCTGCCCACGCCATGAACTGCTGCCCAGAGATCCCTGCCAGGCCCTTCACACGCCGAGCTCGTGCCCTACGGCCGACCAAAGCGCGCAGCCAGCCCAACGCAGAGCCCATGACACCTTGTCCCAGTGGGCATCGCCACTTCCTCAATGCCAGGACCAGCCCTAGAGCCCGCCCCTGCCGATCCCAGCCTTTGCCAAGCCCAGTTCTCGGCAATCCCAGCCCTCTCCCGCTCCCTAGCAGGTGCAGAGCCCCCCCAGCCCACCCACGGAAGGGCCGATGTTTCCATTCCTCCACCTCATCCAACACTAGCCCCAAACATCTGCCCGGCTCCTCGCCCCCCGCCCGGGAAATTTGCCTCCAGACAAGTCCAGACGTAGGCCAGGACCCTCAGATGTGCCCCCGGCAGCCCCCACGCACCTCTGCCCACCACCCCAACACCTTTCCCACCCCTCCGCTCAGGGAACACTCTCCCCCGCAGCCCGGCCCACGGGCCGAGCCCCCAGACCCCACCCCGGTCCTTCACACTCCTCCCACTGCCACCACCCCCAAAGGCGCTCTCCGAGTCCCTCAACTATTGCGGTTTCGACACCTACGACCCCTCCCACAGGTGAGCCCCCCAGACCACCTTCCCGCCCTCGGCACTTTCCCCTCCAAAGGCCTCGAGCACCTGCCCTCCTTCAGATCTCCCCGTTCCCTCCCACCCTGGCTCCAGCAAGGCCCAAAGGCCCGGGCTGCCCCGAAAGGCCCCCGAACCCAGCCCTAGCCCTGATCCGGGTCTCCAAGAGACCCCCGGACCCTCTGACCGCCCCCCAGCCCAGAGCACCCTTCCCCCGCTCCTCACGCGCGCCCGAAATTCCTCCCCGGCCCCAAACTCTGGTCCCTTCCCAAAAACCCTTCAGCCCACTCCTCGATCCCTCAGTCCCCGCAGACCAGCCGCCGCCGCCCCTCAGCACCCGCGACAGCCCCCCCCAGGCCTCTCCGCCTCCCCGGCCTGCCCCCGCCCCCACCTCGCGCACGGAGGCGCCATCCGCGATGACGATCTCCTCCTTGTCCTTGGGGGTCTTCACGGTTACGCGGATGAGCGCCCCGCCGGGCCCTGCCTGGCCGCCCCCGCCAGACCCGGGGCCGGGGCCGGGGCCGCCGCCACCGCCGCCGCCACTCGGCTCCGCCATCTTCGCCGCCCGCCGCCAGCCCGGGCCACCGCCACCACAGAGAGCCGGGAGCGGCGCCACAGCACCTCCTCGGCCCGAGACAGCGCCTCCCGGCGGCCCGGAGGAACAGCGGCGGCGCGGGGGCGGGGGACAGAGCGGGGCTCGGGCTCACGGGGGCGGGGAGGCGGAACCGGAGCGGAAAGAGGCTGCCACAGCCTGGGGAGGGTGTGCTGCCCGCAGCTCCCCGCCGGTGCCCCCACCGACCCCCTTTCACCGGCCCCACCCCCGATCCCCGCGGTCACCGAGGGCCCACGCCTGCCCCGCGCTCCCTTCTGCTGCCAAGGCCCCTCTGGAGTCCCGGCGCCCACGGGGACAGCGGCAGGGCCGGGCGGGACTACAGCCCCCAGAATGCCCCGGGCCCGGCGCGGCGCCGTGACGGCCCCGCCCGGCGCGGCGCCACCCCCGCCCCGCGGTGCCGGCGGCGGCCATGCTGCGGCCCAAGGCCCTGACGCAGGTGCTCAGCCAGGCCAACACCGGCGGCGTCCAGAGCACGCTGTGAGTGCGGGGGGCCGGGCGGGGGGCGGCTTTCCCCGAGCGGGCCCGGCGGGCACCGGGCGCTCCGTGATGCGGGGTGACGCCGCTGCGGGGAGATGCTTTCCCTGCCCGGGAATGTTTCCCTCGTAGCTACCCCGGCGGATACTGCCGCTGTTCCTGCCCCAGGGGATGCTGCCCCTGCCCGGAGATGCTGCCTACCATTCCCCCGTGCCTGCCCCTGCTCTCGCTCCTGCCCCTGACCCTGTCCCTGCTCCTGCCCATGCCCTGAACCTGCCTCGGGCATGCTGTGCCTGTCCCTAGCTCAGGGATGCTGCCTGCCCCAGTCCCTGCAGCGGGGGATGCTCCCTGCTCCTGCCCTGGGAATGCTGCCCCTGCCTAAGGATGCTGCCTGCCTTTCCCCAGCCCCTGCTCCTGCTCTTGCCTCTGCCTCTGCCTGAGGATGCTCCTTGCCCTTACCCCTGCTTGGGGATGCTCCTTGCCCTTGCTCCTGTCCCTGCCTGGGGATGCTCCCTGTCCCTGCCCAGGGAAGGCAAGGGGCTGGGCCCTTCCAGGGGCAGGTGTGGGACTGAGACCACGAACCCTGTGTGGTGCTGGTCTCCAGATGGTGCTGGCACTGTGCACAGTGTGTGGGGCTCCTGATGTCTGGTGCTGGGATGCCTCGTGCACAGTGCGAGGGCCGTGCACAGAGCTGGGGCTGTGCACAGTGTTTGTCCCCAGGCTTGTGCCCAGCCTGTGGCAGGTCCTACTGCTTCAACCACAGCCCTGCACTGCCCTGCTCGGGCCTGGGGCCACTGCAGAGCTTTCTGACTTTGAAGCCCCCCACCCCTTGCCAAACCCCTGCAGAATGGCAGTGTCTTGGGAGAAGTGCTTGGGACTGTGGTCGGGGGCTTTGTTCTACCCCTGGTCTTGAAAGGGGGTCTGGTGTTAGAGGCATCAGTTTGCCCTCCATGTCCTTCCCAGGCTGCTGAACAACGAGGGCTCCTTGCTTGCCTACTCGGGCTATGGGGACACTGATGCCAGGGTCACCGCGGCCATCGCCAGCAACATCTGGGTGGCCTACGACAAGAACGGGCACCAGGCGTTCAATGAGGACAACCTCAAATTCATCCTCATGGACTGCATGGTATGTGGGGCTGGAGCCTGCCCTGCCCTCCCTGGGGATGTGCCTGTGGTGCCAGCACCGTGCTGGGGTCCAGGCCAAGCTGGGGCGCAACGGGTGCTGTTTCTCCCTGGGCAGGAGGGGCGAGTGGCCATCACACGGGTGGCAAACCTGCTGCTCTGCATGTACGCCAAGGAGACGGTCGGATTTGGGATGCTGAAAGCCAAGGTAACGGCTGGGGAATCGATAGGGCTGCATCCCTGCTTTGGAGTGGGAAAGAGCTGTTTTTATGAGCATTGGAATGGGAGGGCTGGAGGAAGCTGCCGTGCCTGGGACGCTCTTTGCACCTTGCAGAGAGTCCTCTGTCCCCTGTGCCTGCCCAAGCACCACGTGACACCTTTTTAAGGTTCTAAACTGAAATATAAATTACAATAAGCAAGCGGGCAGTGGGCACACGTGTTGTAAAACCCACCTGAGCGTGGCTCATGGCATTCTCTGTTTGCAGGCACAGGCACTGGTCCAGTACCTGGAGGAGCCGCTCACGCAGGTGGCCGCATCATGAGCAGGCAGTGGAGGGCCCCGACAGCATCACCATCATCATCACCACCGTGGGTGGGGCGTGAGTGGCCCCACGGGCATCCCAGAGCTCCAGTGTGGTCTTAAAAATAAGGTGGCAGGAATGCAGAAGCGGGGGGAATAAAAGCGTGTTTGATGCTTGTGTCTGTTGTGTCTGTTGTTGGGGGAGCTGAGGGGTAACACAGCCGGACTGGGCTTGGACGTGCCCATTGCCCCGGGGAGGACAAGAAGTTGCCAGGGGCTGTTGTCAAAGGAGAGGATTTACAACAGAGCCGAGCCCTGGCACAGCCCTGCTGGTCACACTGGGATAGCTGGGGGTGGTGGGGGCTCCTTCCCATCCTTATTTCCCTGGCTTTCACACGATGGCAGCAGAGGCGAGGGAACATTCGGAGCGGCGGGAGCCGGGCTGAGCGGGGGTTCTGCTCCTGGCACAGCTGCCCTCGCTGCCATCCCACCCCCCAGTGCCCTGCTCTGCCTTTGCTGCCATCGCAGCTCACGCTGCCCTGCTCTGCCATCGCTGCCCTCGATGCCATCACATCCGTCCCCTCCCCACGCTGCTGTCCCGCCCGTGCCACGCTGCCCACGCTGCCCTCCATGCCCTGCCCGCGCTGCCCTCCGTGTCCTGCCAGCGCTGCCCTCCGTGCCCTGCCAGCGCTGCCCTCCGTGCCCTGCCCGCGCTGCCCTCCGTGTCCTGCCAGCGCTGCCCTCCGTGTCCTGCCCGAGCTGCCCTCCGTGCCCTGCCCGCCCTGCCCCAGCCTGCTCGTGGTGCCCTCGCTCCCTCCCTGCCCATGTTGCCCATACTGTTGGTGCTGCTCCCGCTGCCCCAGCCTGCCCGCGCTGCCCTCCCAGGCTGCCCACGTTGCCCGTACTGTCGGTGCTGCTCCCGCTGCCCTCGCTCCCTCCCTGCCCACGTTGCCCGTACTGTCGGTGCTGCTCCCGCTGCCCGAGGCTGTCCCGCACTCAGGATCGGGCCCTGGCTCCTCCTCCAGCCGCCCCGTGACGGTCCCAGGGGTGACACTACCTGCCCAACCTGCGCTGCGACACCCAGTCCCACCCCTTGAGTCAAGCGGCCGCGCTGTCGCCAGCTCGGCCTCTCTCGCCGCCGCTGTCCCGGACCCTCCGCTGTCCCGGACCCTCCGCTGCCCCGGACCCCCCTCACTCCCCGGCAGGGAGGAACCTTCGGTCGCTCCGTGCCCTCCCTCGGCGCCTCCGGGAGCCCGGCCCGCCGTCTCCTCGAGGCTTGGCTTGGCAGCGGGAAGGAGGAAACCCGGGCGGCCCTGCAGGGCAGGCGGCCGGGGCGACATGGGCAGCGCCGAGGAGGACTATAACTTTGTCTTCAAGGGTGAGTCCTGCGCTCTGTGTGACACCCCCCTGCCCCAAAAAGAGGGGAGCAGAAATCCAGGGGCTGCGGGGAGGGAAGGAGGGTGCCCTTTCCCCAGGGCGGCTGTGTCCTGAGCTGGGGCATTGTTGACAATCCCTGCAGCTGTGATGGGCACCGGGAGCTACGGAGGGTCAGGGGACTGGGGGGGCAGGCACGGTCTGCTGATGGCAGTGAGGCCAGCCAGGGCTGGTGAGCAGCAGCGAGGTCCACAGAGACCCGGGGAGATCCACGCTCACCCCAAGGCTGAAGGTGTGCAGTGCCAGGCAAATTGCTGTTACGGGATAGGGGGGCTGTGAAAGCTGGAGCTGAGTGTGTGAGACAAATGCCACAAGAGCCTGTAACCCCCGAGAGCAGTGGGCATTGAAAAGTCACTTTCTGCAGTGACCTGGGCAGTGGCACATGCAGAGGACATGGGGGTCAAAGCTGAGCTGGAGAAATGGAGGCACAGCCTCACACCTCCCATGCTGAGCTCCTTGGGCCCACCTGGTCTCTGCCAGGTACTATTGGCTGGACTGTGCTGGGGCTCAGTGCTCCCTTTGGGCAAGTGGAGACAGACAGGCTGTGCTGTGCCACCTGTCCTGGGTGCCCACTGCAGCAGGGTGACCCAGGGCTCACCAACATCCTTGTCCTGCTCCTGCTGCCCAGAGGCATGACCCCCTGACCAGCTCTGGGGTTGCACCAGCCCTAGGGAGCACAGCTGGGCTCCCCCGGAGACCCTGTTTGCTGAAGGAGTGACCCCACCAGGGGTTAAACCCACACAGCTGCCCAGCCTCTGCTACCAGTCTGGGGTCACCGGACAGCGAGCGATGCCCGTGCAACCAGTAGGATTTCTCCTTCCTTCCACAGTTGTGCTGATCGGGGAGTCTGGGGTGGGAAAAACAAACCTGCTCTCTCGTTTTACCCGCAACGAGTTCAACCACGACAGCCGCACCACCATCGGCGTGGAGTTCTCCACGCGCACCATCCTGGTGGGAGACGCCGCGGTGAAGGCTCAGATCTGGGACACGGCTGGGCTGGAGCGCTACCGCGCCATCACCTCCGCGTAAGGACCTCAAATCCTGCCTCTCCTGGGGCTGGGGTTCAGCCCCACGGGTGAGGATGCTGTAGGGGAGGGGGGATCTGGGGCACGGAATGATGGTGGGGTTCTGGCACAGGTATTACCGGGGGGCTGTGGGTGCCCTGGTCGTGTTTGATATCACCAAGCACCAGACATACGATGTGGTGGACCGCTGGCTGAAGGAGCTCTACGACCATGCTGAGGCCAGCATCGTTGTCATGCTGGTGGGGAACAAGACCGACCTTGCACAGGCTCGAGAGGTGCCCATGGAGGAGGCAAAAATGTTTGCAGGTACAGGGCCAGAACCTCCCCAGCAGTGTGGACCTGCACCAGTGCAGGCACCTGAGCACCTCTAAAGGTGCTCCAGATTGGAGCCATGTCCTCACTGGGGTCTGCATCATCTCAGGGGTCTCCTCTTGTTGCAGACAACAACGGGCTGCTGTTTGTTGAGACCTCTGCACTGGACTCCACCAATGTTGAGGAAGCATTCGAGACCATCCTGAAGGGTACAGGCACTGGTGCCGTGGTGCAGCAGGTCCCAGGGCATTGCGGGGTCCCTTTCCAAGGATGCAGGGCTGGGCAGATGATGATGTGCAGCACTTCTCTCCCTGCTCCACTTGAGCTATTTAGGGCTAGTTTCATGAGGTCTTTTGGTGTTTCTTTCTGTCTGCTTTGGTTTTCAGCCTTTGTTGCTGGGCGTTTCACTCCCCACACCCGAAGCTTTGTTCTCACGGCCCCTGGGCATCCCTGAAGCCCCAGGGGCTGCTTCTCCCCCGTAATCTCCAGTCTCCTTCCTGTTGTCCTGGGCTCATGACTTGGTGTCTCCAGCATCCTGCCAAACCGGCTGTGGGGACCTGGGGGGCCAGGGATGGAGTCCAAGGGCAGCTCTCCAGGAATGGCAGCCAGCAGCATCCGGGCAGTGAGGTGTGCCATGCCATGCTGAGCCATGCCAAGCCATGCAGTGCTATTCCATGCCATGCTGTGCTGTGCTGTGCTGAGCCAGCCTGGCCCAGTGAGCTGCCAGCCCCAGCACAGGGTGAAGCACTAATCCCAGGTTGGGCAAGAGGAAATGGGCCAAGCACAGGGTGTTCCCCAAGCGCTGCAGGGATGCACGCCTTGTCCCTTGTCACCCCTCAAGTGGGGGGGTAACTCCCTCTGCTGTGTAGAGGTGAAGGAAAGCCACCAGCATGCTGAGCAGTGGGGGCTGCAGGCTCGAAACTGTCCCTGCATCCCCAGGGGGCCTTGGCTGACACACAGACCCCCCAGCACTTCTTTTTTTGCAGAAATCTTCTACAAAGTGCAGAAGCAGAAGCAAAGGAGCAGCCAAAGCAACACGGTGTCACTTGCAAGTGAGAACCCTGCAAGCACAGCCCCAGTGCAGGCAGAGAGGCGCCCGTGCTGCGTGGCCCTCTGAGCCCTCTGAGCACCCCAGGAAGTCCCCAGGGAACCCCACAACCCCGGGACACACCAGTGGCCACCAGCACAAGCTGGTGTCACCCTGCCTACAGTGCCATCCCTGTCCTGGTGCAGTGGGGACCAGCAGCCTGGACAGGGGTCAAATTCTGCCATAAACAGTGAGAAGTACCAGTTCCAGGAGCTCTTCTCTCTCTGTTGCATTTTTGCTGGGCCCTGATTAGCATCACCACTGTCACGCACCGTTTCAGCCCTTCTGGACCTGCAGGGCAAAGTGACCAGGACACCCCCGAAGCACCTCTGGGGAAGAAGCCAGTAGGTTCTGGGCAGGATCATGCCAGCAACAGGAGCCTCTCTGATTACCTCTGGCCCTGGGGTTGCTCCTGTAGGGCCACCCTGTGCGGTGCACTGAGGATGAGGCTGACCTGCAGGTATCTGTCCCACCAGGGACTGCTCTAGGGTGTGAAGTGGCAGCACTCAGCCCTCGGCAGTCCCAGCAGGGCCCGGTGCCATGGGGCAGGGAGCAGCTCTGTGTCCAGCACGGGCGTGACGCAATCATTAAAGGACTTGTGAAATGCAGATTTACTGAGCTGGAATTCCTGCGTGTTTGTGGTCAACGCCCTGGGTCCCCACCTTCATAATGTGCTGAAGATCGTGGCCTCCAAAGCAGCCCAGCTGGATGCCACGGCACCCCTGTGCCCCCTCCTACCTCGATGCCATGGCCCTCCTGCACTACCTCCCACCTAAAGCCACGCTCCCCCTGTGCCCCCTCCCCTTGCAGCCTTTCCCAGTTTAGGTCCCCTGTTTGAACTTTATCAGTTCAAAGGATGACGCAGCCTCTGCCGGTTATCTGAAACCCCTCGGAAACGGGATAATTCCTGCTGGATTCTCCGTGTCTCCACTCGCTTTCCCTTGGCACCACGCCCGGCGTGCCAGCCCAGCTCCGTGTCCCACCCACGGCTCCTTTTGGGCGCACTGTCCCCATCGGGAGCACGCACGGGTGGTGGCTGTCCCTGCCCCCCTTACCTGCCTAGGTGAGCACACCTGAGTGTGACGGGCAGCCCCGGCCGCCAATGGGTGCGGAGCAGGAAAGGCTGTGGCCACCAATGGGTGGCGGGGGACAGCCCCGGCCAGGGCTGGGAAAGGCCCGGAAATCCCAGCTGGCCCAGTGGCACTGGGGCTGTGGGGCTGGGCGACATGCGGGGCAAGGACGATGAGTACGATTATCTCTTCAAAGGTGGGTCTGCTGCCCGGCCAGCGCTGGCCGTGCCCCCGTGAGCGTGCCTGTGTCCGGTGAGCCCGCTGCTGGCACCCCCGGCGTGGGACGGGGGGCTGGGGCTGGGGCTGGGGGAGAACACTCAGCTCCCGGTTCATGGGATGGGGAACTGGGGCTGGGGCTGGGATAGAACACTCAGCTCCCAGTTCATGGAACAGGGAACTGGGGCTTGTACTGGGATAGAACACTCAGCTCCCGGTTCACGAGACAGGAGCTGGGGCTGGGACTGGGATACAACACTTGGCTCCCAGTTCACGGGACAGGGAACTGGGGCTGGGACTGGGATAGAACACTCAGCTCCCAGGTCATGGGAAGGGGAGCTGGGTCTTGTACTGGGATAGAACACAGCTCCCAGCTCACGGAGGGGGCTTGTAGTGGGATAGAACACTCAATTCCCAGTTCTTGGGATGGGAGGTGAGGCTTGGACTGGGATAGAACACTCAGCTCCCAGTTCACGGTGGAGAGGGGGCTTGTACTGGGATAGAACACCCAATTCCCAGTTCTGGGGGGGGCTTGTACTGGGATAGAACACCCAATTCCCAGTTCTGGGGGGGGCTTGTACTGGGATAGAACACTCAGCTCCCAGTTCACGGTGGAGAGGGGGCTTGTACTGGGATAGAACACTCAGCTCCCAGTTCACGGTGGAGGGGGGGCTTGTTGTGGTGTTCCGCTGTGCTGGGAAGGAGGGTGGGTGCTGGTGAGGCTGGGGCTGAAGTGCTACGGTGGTCGGAGGGTTTGCTAGAGCTGCTTCCATGGTTTGTGCTCCCGATGCTCATGACAGCCTCTCTTGACTCCTGTGGGAAGGGCTGCAGGCCCAGCCGGAGTGCGCAGCGCCCTGGAGGGTGGCTGTGCTGTGGCAGGGTGGCCCTGGCTGGGTGGCTGTGGCCCTGGCTGGGTGGCCCTGGCAGGGTGGCTGTGGCTATGGCAGGGTGGCCGTGGCATGGTGGCTGTGGCTGTGGCAGGGTGGCTGTAGCCATGGCAGGGTGCTGGTCCCGGGGGTGCTGGGCAAGGCTGGTCCATGGGACTCTGTGGGTGCCCTGTCAGCCCCTGAGCACCCGTGGGTGCTCCGCTCTGCGGCGCTGGGTGAAGGGAGCACAGCTGAGAGCTGAGTGATCTCCCCCAGGAGAGAAAGCCTCCTGCTGCTCCCCAGCTGCAGTGGAGGGAGAGGATCCAGGGATCTGGGCTTGTCCTTCCTGCTGCTGGACATGCTCTGACCTCACTGCTGTGCCCTGTGAGGGTGGGGGACAGGGACAGGCTCCTGGAGACACGACATTGGCATTTCTGCCCAGCACCCCCATCCCTGCGTGTGCCAGGCTTCCCCGCGCTCTGCTGTGGCCAGAGCAGGTGCTGGGGAGGCAAAGGGACATCTTGGCAGTGCCACAGCCTCCTGAGCCATAAAATCCAGGGTGTGAGCTCACCGGTGGGTGGCTGTGAGTCAGCCTACCCACACAGGCCTGCCCGCAAGGCCCCGAGTAATTCCAGCCTCCGACAGGACGTAATTCCAGCCAGCCGTGCACTGCTAGCCCCTGGCTCCCTGCACACCTCCCCTGGCTGCTGCCCAGGAAAATCCTCCTGCCTGGAGTTACTCTGGGACCTGCTGTGGGGAAACTCTGATGCTGAGTGGTGCCTGGAGTACGATGCCCAGGCAGGAGCTGTCCCAGCTGCTTTGTTCTGTGCTTCCCACCCGGTGCTGTGCCAGCTGTGTGGCTCTGAGCGGCCTCCAGTACCTGGTCCTCGTGTGTCTGTCCATCCCTTGTCGTTCTACAGGAGCCAGGGCTGGGAGCAGCTCTTCATTCCCTTCCTGGGTCTCAGGGTGGTCTCTGGAGTCCTTAAAAAATATAGAAGAATTCAGTTTTCAGTGCAAGGACAGCTCATCCCTTCCAAAGCAGGAGCAAAGTTGAAGGGGAATGCAGTGTTCAGGGGCATGGAGCTGGGCTAGTGCTCCCAGGGTCCAGCAGCTCTCCCCCATGAGGAAAGGGAGATTGTCACAGCTGGAAGCAGCATTGTTGAGTTCCACTGAAATGGGAGCATCAGTTGTTGCTGAGCACAATGCACATTCCAGCTGTGCAAGGCCCCCCTCCTGCACTGCTGGAGGGGCTCAGTATGGCTGAGGAGCAGCTCTGGGCATGGCTGCTCCTCAGACCCTTCCTTGGGGCCCTGTGAGGGGCTCCAGGCTGTTTCCATCCCTGCAGTTAGACGTGGAGGATGGCAGTGAGGACAGAAAGTGTCAAATGCTTTTGTGCCTGGGGTGGGGGGTGCTGCTCCAGCTCCTGGAGCCATTCAAGCTCAGGGACATGGGGGTCATCACCCCCGCAGGCTGCAGACCATGCAGCACCCACCCTGCATCCCTGGCGTGGCCCAAAGCCCTCTGGAGCCTGCCATGGAGCATGGCACTGCCAGGATGGGGATTGTGGCAGTTGAGCTGGGGAAGCAGTAATTTCCTGTTGGTAAAAAAACCGAGCTCAGATGAAAACTTCGAAGCTGGGAAAGTGCTAATGAACCTGGCCTGCATTTCCTACTGCCTTGTCCAGGGTAGTCCAGGTGGTCCTCTCACACCTCCCTGCAGTGGGCAGCAGCTGAGAAGTCTCCCCAGCAGCTGGGAAAAGGGTGAGGGGTGGGATTCTGCCCCTCTGCTCCATTTTGGTGAGGCCCCTCTGCAGAGCTGCCTCCAGCTCGGGGGCTCTCCAGCACAGGAGAGGTGTGGAGATCCTTGAAGAAGTCAAGGAGGCCACAGAGATGCTCCAAGGGCTGGAGCCAGGCTGGGGGAGCTGGGGATATTCAGCTTGTAGAAGAAAAGGCTCTGGGGAAACCTGAGAGCCCCTTCCAGTGCCTAAAGGGGCTCCAAGGGAGCTGGAGAGGGACTTTGGACAAGGGTGTGGAGGTACAGGACAAGGGGGAATGGCTTCCCACTGCCACAGGGCAGGGTTAGATGGGATATTGGGAAGAAATTCTTCCCTGTGAGGGTGGGGAGGCCCTGGCACAGGTGCCCAGGGAAGCTGAGACTGCCCCATCCCTGGAATTGTTCAAGGCCAGGTTGGACAGGGCTTGGAGCAACCTGGGACATTGAATCAAAGGAACAAGATGGGCTTTATGGTCCCATCCCCCCAGCCATTCTGTGATGCAGTGCAGGAGCTGCCCTTCCCTCATTCCCTGCCTGTCCTGACACAGTGATGGCCTGCAGTGCTCCTCCAGCTTCCCTCAGTGATCCCAGAGAGCTGCTCCACTTCCCGCTGGGTTTCCTGGCACCAGGCTGTTTGGTGGCTGCCCTGCACTGAGGGTTTTGTCAGTGGGGTGGCTGCACTGGTGGAGGCTTTGCAGCATGCAGGGGAGCCACATCTACGAGCTGGAGCTGGAGGGAAGGAGTTACCCAGGACATGGAGCAGCATCCTTGCAGGAAGGTGGCTGCTGAGCCTTGGCTGAGGTAGCAGTGCCTTGCTGAGGCTCCTGCAGTGTGTGGCATCCCAGTGGCCCCTTGCTGGTGCTGCTGTTCCTGTGTGCTCCCCAGCCTGCTCACGGGATGGCTGTGACCTCAGCCCTGCTGTTGTCCAAGCCTGGTGGGGACACATGTCCCACAGGTGGGTGAAGTGTCTGAGTTCTCCTGGGGAATGAACACGATTGGCAGTGAAGGAATTAAAAATAACTTTAAAAATAAAGCCAAAAACCTGTTGAGTCATAAACTCAACAAACTTGACTGGGGAGGTGTGTGATAAAGCTCCCCAGAGCCTGTTTCACCAGGTTTTACAGGAACCAGCCCGATCTGGGACAGGCACAAAATGCATTTAACCCACACCCAGGGACTTCCCAGCTCATGGGCTGGACCAGCAGCAGCAGAGGAGGATGCTTCCTTTCAAACTGTGTCTTCAAGTCTTCCAGTGTGCCCTCAGGGCTGGAGGGCACTCAGGGTTGGCAAGAGGAGCCCCAGCTCTGCCTGGCCTGTGGCCTGCCTCTCCCTGCACAGGTCCTGACCCTGCTTTTCTGCCCGTTTTGGGTACATCAGTGCATATGGTGCTTTCCCATCCCCTGGGGACAGAAACTTCTGGTAACTTCCCAGTGATGGCAGGGATTTTCTCAAGGGGCATTTACAGGCAGCAGTGATGCTGCTGCGAGGAGTGGGGGCAGCTTCACCCCTCACCTGTCAGCTTCTCCTGGATGAGACGGAGGTGGGGTCTGGAAGGGGGGCAGATGGGGGGATTGCCATCCCTGCCAGGCTGCGGGATGGGTGCCTGGGGGAGCTGACCCTGTGTTTGTGCCCACCCAGTTGTGCTCATCGGGGACTCGGGGGTGGGCAAGAGCAACCTGCTCTCGCGCTTCACCCGCAACGAGTTCAACCTGGAGAGCAAGAGCACCATCGGGGTGGAGTTTGCCACGAGGAGCATCCAGGTGGACAACAAGACGGTGAAGGCTCAGATCTGGGACACGGCGGGGCAGGAGCGGTACCGCGCCATCACCTCCGCGTGAGTTTCCTCGCTGCCGGCCTGGGGCCCTTGCCTGGGGCCCTGCTGTGACCCTGTCCCCTCCCTGTCCCCCAGGTACTACCGAGGGGCAGTGGGAGCTCTGCTGGTCTATGACATCGCCAAGTACCTGACGTACGAGAACGCAGAGCGCTGGCTGAAGGAGCTGCAGGACCACGCTGATGCCAACATTGTCATCATGCTGGTGGGCAACAAGAGTGACCTGCGGCACCTGCGGGCTGTGCCCACCGACGAGGCTAGGAGCTTTGCAGGTATCTTCCCCCATCCTGTCCAGTCCCGTCCCATCTGGCTGGAGTTGCTGGCACCCACCTGAGCTGACGCTGTTCTTGCAGAGAAGAACGGGCTGTCCTTCCTTGAGACGTCTGCTCTGGATTCCACCAATGTGGAGACAGCTTTCCACAACATCCTCTCGGGTAAGGGGCAAGCAGGAGCAGAGATGGCTTTGGGCACCCCTGGGGGCCTGGCTGTACTGGGTGGGATCTGGGTTGGAATCCTGCTCCCCTGCATGGGGAGAGGCGGGCATTTGCACCCCTGGAGCTGTGTGTTTGTGGAGGGAGCAGATCCCCCACTGAAATACTTACCTGAAGAACTCTTTCCTTCCCCACTTCTCTGCTGGCAGAGATCTACCGCATCGTGTCTCAGAGGCAGATCACGGGACAGCCGGAGTCCGAGTTTGGCCCCTCCACCTCCATTGAACCCATCCAGGTGCTGCCCACGCAGCAGGAGGGCCGGCAGGCGCCCTGCTGCCAGAACATCTGAGCCCCTGGGCCGCCCCCACCGTGACCCCCCAGCGCACGGTGGCATCGTGGCTCTCACAGCCTGTACTCTGAGCAGTGCAGGGAGCTCTGGCTGCTGTTTGTGCACCTTCATCCTGCCCACGTGCTGCTCCGCCTGTGTTTATGTAGGACCAACAAAACCAGGGGGAGGCAGCGCATCAGGGTCTCTCCCCTCTCTCCCCAAGGTTCGGGGGCATGCCATCCCCCGTGTCCCTGCTCCCTTTAGCCCTGCAGGGACAGTGGCTGGTGGCACTGAACGTGGTGAGTCCCTGTTTGGTGACGCCCTGTGTGCAGCCCGTGGGGTGGGGATGGAGGGGTACACTGGGTGCATCCTTCTCCTGCCTGGTGAAGGCAGCAGTGGTGTGGCCTGTCCCCCTGTCCCTGCAGCACCAGGAGCTGGGAGTGCCTCTGAATGCTGCTGGGGCCATCTAGGGAGGGGTGTGGGAGTGACACTGTTCTTGTGTTGTGACCCCAGCAAAGAGAAAAGCTGTGACTCTTCCGTGGAAAGGGATGGGAACTGGGGCTGGGGGCCCTGGCCTTTGGGAAGCCCTGAGGGGGGCACAGGGGAGCACCAGGGATTTGGGGGCTGAGGGCAGGGATGAGCTGCTGAGGGTAGGCAATGGTCCCTCTGCATAGCTCCCTGTGGGGGAGCCAGGGTCAGCACTGGGGACCCCCTCAAGGTCCCCCTGGCATAGCTTGGCCCTTCCCTGCTCCAGTGTTTGGCCACTGTGGCTGGTGGCTGCATGGCCCAGCCTGGGGACATGCCACCACTGGATGGAGTGCCTGCTGCAGCAGCAGGATGACAGTGGCCTTGTCCCCTGCCTGGGGGACAGTGGCCACCCCCCAGGGTGGGCATCACCCAGGATGCTGGGACAGACTGTGCTGCTGTCAGGGTGATTGGCAGGTGTCAATCAAGAGGGTGCAGGTGGGAAGGCCTGCATTGACCCAGTACTGGGAGTGTAGCCCCTGCCACGTGGGGTTTTGGGGGATTTTCTCTCCACAGCTGCGCCCAGTCTCTGCATCTCACTTGGCTGTGCCAGTAGCATCCGGGCCACGGTTCCCCCTTGGGGCATGATTTGTCAATGAAACAGAAATTGAGGCAAAATCCCCAAATAAAGCTGCTGCTGAAGCCTTTTCTGTCTCTGCCAGGTCTCTCCTTGAGGCAAGAGCAGTGCCAGCCCCACGTGGGGCAGCTGGGAAGCATCCACAGGCAAGGAAGGGTGAGGAGGAGGAGGAGTGCTGGGAGGAAGGTATGACTGCAGCCTGGGCAAGGGAAGCCAGAGGGGAAAACTTGAAATTCAGGATTGGAAGGGGTGGGATCCTGCTGCTGGCCCAGGGCAGTGCAGGGATGCACAAACGGGGTGCAGAAGCAGCCACACCGTAGGGGTGCCCCTTTTTATCCACCCACTGCAGCCACCCCAGTCCTGGCAGCGCCTTAACCTTGGCTCCAGCCCCCTGGCACTGTGTCCCTACACCATGGCACTGCCCCCTCCAGAGGCAGCCTCATCCCTGAGCAGGTCAGACCCATCCTCTGTAATCCCCTGACTGCAGCTGGGGGCTGTCCCCAGGGGGATGGTGGCCACTGCCCCACGGGCTGTGCTTTACCCCATGCCCACCTCAGCTGGAAAAGCCCTGGAAACGTGCAGGAAATGCCAAGCACCACCTCCTCCCACACCATCTGCCCACACCAAAACACGGTGCCAAGAGGTGATGTCAGCCCCACCGGCTGGAGAGGTGGGCATGTGGGGGATGGATGCTGCTCCACAAAGGGACAGGGCTCAGCCAAGTGCCCCTGGGGCCTCACTGCCCTTGGATGTGCCATCAGCCAGGCATTGGCGTGGACACAGGGAGTGGTGAGTTCATTTGGACTCATGGGGGCACTTTTGGGCTCAGCAACTCAGTTTTGTTCCAGGCTTTCCAGTTTTGGGGTGTTTTCTGCTGGGATGAAGAAGTGGGAAGGGTGAAATGTGGCACAGGGGTGGCTCACAGACGTGGGACCTGCCAGCCCCAGCTCTGGGAGAAGCAGCTGCCTTGGAGGGTCATCATCTCCCAAGTGCTTTGATGAACCCCAAGAAGTGCTGCCAAAATCATGGGACTGGTGGGAGGTGCAGCAGGGGTGGCAGAGGGAGGTGCAGCCCCACTGCCCTGGAACTCAGCCCAGCAGGGCCTTGTTCCCAACCACTGCTCCCTAAAGTGTGAACAGACACAAATCAAGAGCAGATACCAAGTTTCTTAAGTAATAATACTTTAATAAAATTAAGTTCTTAATGTAATTTAGCACATTTAATACATTAACCCTTTCCCTTCTTTGTTTTCTACAAGTTGTGCAACATCATTATTTTAATTTTATTTTATTTTAATTTTTTTTTTTCCTTCTCCCATTATACTATATGCCTCAAAACTCAGACAACAAGCCTAACTCTACTTCTATGTTCGGTTATATCTCTCTCTCAGGCCTTTATTTTTGCGTAACGCCAGAGAGATGAAAATACCTGGATGGAACATGTGATCGGTTTCCAATAGTAACAATCCCGACTACAGGTTTCCTATGATGTTAAAAAAAAAAAAGGAAAGAAAAAAAAGGAAAAAAAAAAAAAAAAGGAAAAAAAGAAAAGCAAATACAAAATACTAGGGAATGGACTTTCAATGGAAGGGCCACAGAGTCAGGGGGCTCCGTGGCCAGCTGGCTCAGCATGAGGTGGGAGAAGCGTGGGGCAGGAGCGTGTGCCAGCGCCCAGACCGAGGGACAGCGGGTACACAGCAACTTGTGCGTGTCCGAGGAGAGGAAGCCAATGTGGTGCTGTGCAAGCAAGGCCATGAAGGGCTGGGGAGGGCTGTGCTGCCCTGGGTGGGTGTGGGGGATCAGCTGCTGCAGGGAGCCCGTGGCCTGGGGTCGTTCTAGCACATCTCCTGTGGGAAATCCCACCGGAGCTGCTCTGCCAGAGTCCCAAGGCAGCAGCTGGAGCCTGGGTGTCTTTGATAGCAGGGCAGAGCCAGAGGAAGTTCTCTGCAGCAGCAGAGGGATGCTCTGGGCATCCCTGGGGATTTCCTTGGCTTGCCTGGGGCTGGGATCAGAGCCGGCTCTGCAGCGCTGCCAGTCTGGGATCTGCCAGCCCTCGTGCCCATTGCCTTTCATGTTTGCTTAACACTGCTTTCTAACCAGGAGCAAATCCCATGCTGCAAAACAGGATCCAGCCCCTGGTCCTTTTTTCCCCCCTTTTTTTTATGATTATCTTTAACAGAATTCATAAAGAAAAAGGAAAAAGGAATGCTGATGGTTTCACAGATAAGCACAACAGCCTGTGACCATGTCTTGTGTCCCAGCTCCTGGGAGCCAAGAGCAGATCTCACTGGCCACACCACACTGCTACCTCTCACCGCTCCGTTTCTCTGCAAGTTGTTTCAAAAGCATCATCATAAGCCCAGAAAGCACATCCTGCTGTCAGCAACCCGGTGCCACCATTGGAGGGGGACTTCATTTTCGCACAGACAGTAGTGGAACTACTCCAGATTTTACATTAGTGTCACTTTACTGGGGGTGACTTTCAATTTGCTCCATTAGCAGCCCTGAAGCGATGCTGGAGCAGATCCAGCGGGGATGCTGCAGCCTGCCAGGGCTGCAGTGACTCCAGATTCCAGCAGAGTAACCCACTGGAACAGGGGAGTCACCAGGGAGGGAGGCAGGAGCTGCCCAACCTCTGCTGTCTCCTGCTGGCACGGCAGACAAACCAAAGTCTGCCTAGCTGAATTTTTCACTGGGTCAGCTGACAGCAGAACATGACTTCAAGTTTCTACAGGATGTGAAAACCCACACTAAAACACAGAGATTGCTCCCTAACGTCCTAGAAGGGGTTTTGGAAGAACCAGCCCATGCTGGCTCTGCTGCCACCAAGGACACCTTGCTGGGGCTCGCATGGGTGGGACGGGAGCCACTGTCCGCACACAAGTGACGATAAAGTGCATCCACTCTCCAGTCCAGGGCACCACTGCACAATGTCCATCACTGACGCTTCTTCAAGTATCAAATTAAAAAAAAAAAAAAATGAGGTAAAACAAAACTGAAAGAGCAAACAGGCCGCCTCGCCACCCCGGCAGGGAAGGACCAGGCGCTTGATTCACCGAGCATGAACCCCCCCAGAAGAGCAGGAGCCGTCGTGCCCTGCTTCCCGAAACGCCCCAGCAACCAAGGAGGGTCCCGGGGAGGGATCTCAGATTCACAGTGCTATTTATATGCAGAAACCGAATGAGAACTGTCTTCATTCCTGTCCTGACCTATTGCATGGCTTTGCTGAGTGATGAATGCTGGTAGAGGCCACCCCAGCCCCCGAGGCAGGCAGGGAGCGAGGGGCGGCCGCCGCGCTCCTCGAAGGCATCTGTGTGGATGCTCCCAAGCTGCAGGAGATCCGTGGGTTTGCTACAGCTGAGCCACAACTCAGAGGAGAGGAGCAAAGGCCAAACCCAGAGGGAAGCAACTCCCAAGGGTGTTTTTTCTTTGCGGCACTCGGCTTTGCTAATGACAGCGTTGCCGCTTGGATGTTTCTTTCTGAGTTCTCTCCTTTAAGCAGAGATTTTGGTGCAGTGAAAAGCATCACCAGTACTCCAGAGAGAAGTGCTGGCCTCTCTGTGGAATGAATGGAGCAGCTGGCAGGGGCATGGGCCTCGTCCTGCCCCAGTGCTGGTGCCAGGGCTGTGTTGCCCTGCCCTGCAGTGGGTCTGCCACCGCAGCACCCTCTGCCTGCTGCCAGCTCCAGGAGCCCTTGCTCCTGCTCTCAGCACTGCAGGGACTCAGATCCATCCATAGCCAACGTGCTGTGCTGGCTAGGAGCAGCCTCCAGCCTCCTCTGTGCTCCTGCAGCCCAAACCAGGCACGTGCCACGAGTGTCACTGTCCCCGAGCAGGACAGTGTCAGGGCAGCTGCCAGGGAGCAAAGCTGCGGGATCAGGGATGTCGTGGCCCATCAGGGCTGTGAGAAGGCCCTCTGGG